AATGTAAACTAGTACAACAAAAATGAAATCAGTATGGAGATTCCTCAAAACACTAAAACTACAAACTCCATTTGAACCAGCTATTCTCCATGTAGGGATCTCCCTGAAAGAGTTAAAATCATCATATTATAGTGACCCAGGCATACCCATGTTTATAGCAGCACAGCTCATAATAGCTAAATCTTGGAAGCTGCCTATTATTCAACAGATGAATGGATAAAGAAATTGTGCTGTTTATACACCATGGAGTACTACTTCATAAAGCAGGGTAAACTTGAGTCATCTTTAGATAAATGGATGCACTTTGAGACCATAATTTTCAGTGAAGTAAATTAGACACACAAGCTTAAATATGCCACGGTTTCTCTTGTATGAGAAACCCAAAATATAAATAAAGAGCAAATCTAAAGACAGGTAATAGGACACAGGGAGACAGATCTTTTACAAGAAGAAAGTGGGTCAAGAGATGGTCCATTTTGCATTTCTGCACAGACCAACTGGCAGAGGTTTTGTATTTGGGACAGTGAATTGGTGGGAAAGGTGTCCCTGTCCCTCTGCCCCTTTGTTTTGCAGATCCTGTGTTCAGAGCCCTGGACACAGCTCTCTGGCGGCCTGGACTGCTTGGGCCCTGGACCCCGCCACAGTGGGCTCCTGTGACTTCGGTGCCACCTGTGGGGGCGCAGCTGGCCGTGCACCCCTCCCTGCCACACCACTCTGCCTGTCCTCGCAGCCTTCGCACGCACTCCTCCACGTTTCACTTGTTTGTCAATGCACACCGCTGAAATCAGGCCCAATAACAGAGGAAGCTAATACAAAGGAGGGAGCCGAGTGCAACAGAAGGGCCACCTTGTATTTCCCTCTCTCCTCAAAGTTTTTTTTTTTTTCAATTTTTAAAATTTTTACTAGTCCATATTTACAGCACATAATGACGACTTTCACCTTGCTGTGGAGCCGGTGCAAGCCCTTCCCACATCTCCGCTCAGGGACTGGGTCTTTCTGCTGTGCTCAGGCACCTGATTCCTCCCACCCGAGCCCAGGCCGGGGGAGCAGGTTCTGTCTGCTTCACACTGTCCTGGAACTCACACCACTCTCTGGAACCTAGTCCTGGCTCAATAAAGGTTGCTTAATGAATGAATAAAAGAAGGAACAAAGGAATATACAGACTGAAATACCTTAGGCTAGGAGGCAAAACTGTCACCTGCACAAAGCCTCACACCAGACCACCTGGGTTCCTGCCCACCACCCTTCAGAGGAGGTCCTCCCCATGTGGCCACTGCAGCCCCCCAGCTGGTAACAGAGCAGCTGACAGGCCCTGGAAACACTCGGCCTTGTCCAGCCGGTGTGGAGCATAGTTAACACAGCCTTTCACTACCCAGTGTTTGGAAACAGGTGCTTTCCTTGAACTCTGCAGAAACAGTTCACATTTTTTCAAGGGTTGGTTTAAAAACCAAAACCAAAAACAAAAACAAAAACCCTCCAGCTGGGCATGGTAGTACACTCTGGTAATCTCAGCACTCTAGGAAGTGGAGGCAGGAAGATCACAAATTTAAGCCTATCCTGGGCAACTTTTTTTTTTTTTTTTTGGTTTTGGTTTTTCTCCGGTACCGGGAACCGAACTCACAACCTTGCGCTTGCCAGGCAGGCGCTTTGCCGCTGAGCTAAATCCCCAGCCCCTATCCTGGGCAACTTTGCAATTTTAGTGCACCCTGTCTCAAAGTGAAAAATAAGAAAGGGCTGTGGATGTAGCTCAGTCCAAAAGCCCTGGGTTTAATCACCAACACTGAGAAACAAAAACAAAAACCTGGGAAAAACCCACATGTCTATCTCCAAGAAAATAGGTAAACTGTGGTACGTCCAAACAACAGAATATACCCAGTAATAAATAATGATGCAACGGATATATGCAAATTATGCACGAATTTCAGACACTGTGCCAACCAATTAGCACACACCATTTGAGATCCTGGTAGAACCAATGCACAGTGACAGCTCCTGGAGCAGAGGTTGCCTGGGATGGGAAGGCTGACTGCCAAGGGAATGAAGAAATGTGTAGGTGATGAAATATTCTGTATTTCAACCAGAGTGCCAGTTTGTTAAAACTTAGGAAATAGTATAGCTATCATGCATGCATTTTATTATACGTAAATTATACCTAAATGATATGTTAAAATTTTTAAAACAACACACAGGCAAACAGGATTAAGGGACAAGAAGAGAGGATGTTGTTGATCAGTTATACTAGTTTAGAAAATAATAAACTGGACCCCTTAAATTAGCAAAACTTTTTAAAAAATGATACAGCAACAGTCAGCACTTACTGCATGCTTTCCATGTGCTAGGCCTGTGCCAGGTGCTTTACTTAGTTGATTCTATTTGCTCTTCACACTCTTTGAGGCAATACTACGCTGGCTTAAGAAGAGTCAATTAAACTGGAGCAGAGGCTGCACAACAACTGACAGGAGGTAGAGAAGGATCCTCACCCAGATCCCCAATGTCAGAGCTAACACTCTTAGCCACTGTTTCATACCATTTGGAGAACTTCAGTGAGATCAACAGCACATCAACTTTCTACTATTTATGGCATTAAACAGGGCTAAATGTGGAAGTCTAAAAGAGCAAGCCAGGGGGCTGGGGATTTAGCTCAGCGGCAAAAGCGCTTGCCTGGCAAGCGCAAGGTCGTGAGCTTGGTTCCTGGTACCGGAGAAAAACCAAAAACCAAAAAAAAAAAAAAAAAGAGCAAGCCAGATGACAGGTGTGGTGGTGCACACCTGTAATACCAGCACTTGGGAACTAAGGCAGGAGAATCACTGTGAGTTTGAGGGCAGCCTGGGCTACACAGTGAGTTCAAGGCCACCCTGCACTGCACAGTGAGACCCTGTATCAAAAAAACACAAAAGTAAATTTAAAAATTAATTAATTAATTAAATGAAAAATAAAAGAGTGAGCCACAGCAATACTCAATACAACCTGTTGGACTCAGTCCTTTCCAAATCGTCATAAAATCATGTTGGTTGTTTCACACGGTTAGTTCCTTTATGAGTAGCTTTGTCTATCTTAATTTGTCACAGTACATAAGAGATTATGTATAAAATCAAAGAAGAATCTCTTGGGAGGCCATGTTTTATCCCCGTGCAGTAGATTTCTGTCTTGTTTATTTGTTTGTTTGTTTTTTGTGAGATAGACTCTTGCTAAATCATGATGTAACCCAGGCTGGGCTCAAATTTACGATCCTCCTGTCTCAGCCTCCCAGCATGTTAGGATTATAGCCATGCACCACGATGCCCAGCTTGGATTCCTGCTGATTAAGTGCAACCTCCCGCCTGCATTAAGAATGGTGTGGTTAGGACAGGGCAACCAGCTGCACAGAAGACAGAACTGATCAACACAAGGGGAAAGCACTGTAAGAGGAAAGACTAAGCAACTGCAGGGTGAGCTAAGAATACAGTCTTACTGCGCCACATCTATTTGGCCACCATGGGTGTGGCCTCCCAGAATTCAGAACTCAATATGAGTTTTCCATGTTCCCGGCTCTACTGAGCTTTGTTTTTTGATGCTAAGGATCAAGCCCAGGGTCTTGTGTATATTAGGCAAGTGCTCTGTCACTGAGTATATCTCCAGCCCCCTAGCATCTTTAAAAATATAGCTGTGAGGCTAGGTGTGGTAGCACACATCAGTAACCCCAGAACTGTGGAGGCTGAGGTAGGAGGTTCACCGCGAGTTTGAGGCTAGTCTGGGCTACAGAGTGAGCTCAAGGCCAGCCTGAAATACATATTACATAGTGAAGCCATGTCTCAAACAGGAAAAAAAGAAGGAAGGAAGGAAGGAAGGAAGGAAGGAAGGAAGGAAGGAAGGAAGGAGGGAAGGAAGGAAAGAAGGAAAAGAAAGAAAGCAAGAACGAAACTAACCTTGTCAGTTTAATGTGCTCAGTGTTGGTGACCAGGGACACAGCAGGGTGGGACAGAGAAGGTGCCACCTCAGGAGGTCTGGGCTCCAGCCTTACTCACCACTTGCCACCTTCTGACCATGGCCAAGTGTTATGGTTGATACATTGTGTCAACTTGGGGAGTCTAGAGGTTTGGCTAAGTAACACAGCAGGGAGCCAGGGTGCTTACAGGTCCTGAGCCTGTGGAAAAGGAGGGCATGGAGATTATGTGAGTGCTACATACCCCCTAGGTGCGGGTAGCCTGTTTACAATGTAAGCGGGGGAAAGAGGCTGCTTGCCGCCATTCCTCTCTTTTGCTCTTGTTGCTTTGCTGTGTTCTGCCGCCATGAACGTTTTGCCCTCTGCCATGTGCCACTCTGCCTCGGAGCCAGCCAAGTATGGACTGAAACCTCCACAAACTGTAAGCTAAATAAACCTTTCTTTCCTTCATTTTGGGAGTTGGGTATTTTGTCTCAGCAACGAGAGAAAAGTAACCAAGTTACCAAGGCACTGAGACTCTTAGAGCTGGTGTCAGTCACTTTCTCGTTACTGGGACAAAATACCTGACACCCGAAACTCCGAGGAGGAAAGGCTGGCCCATTCACGGTTTCAAGTTTGGCCCACAGCTGACTGGCTGCGAGGACGAAGAGGCTTAGCAGAAGGGCCGGGTGGGATGCAGCCGCTCCACCCACGGCAACCAGGAAGCAGCAAGAGGACCAGCACCCAAGAGCCACAGTCCTCCAAGACACCCAGCGACCTACTTCCAACACATGCAGCCCTGAGCACCAGAGGGTTAGTGCACTAGGGTATCGTGCTCCCATGCACCAATCGCCTGTTAGCCTCAGTCCAATCAAGCTGACAGTGAAGCCTATCACAGCCCATTTATCTCCAAAATGGACATAAGCATAAGTACATTATAGGGTCATTTCGGCACCACTGATGTATTCAAAATGAACTACAGTAGCCAAATCAGTGTCGACAGGGTTAGAACATAAGTATTGATCAGGCATGGTAGTACACCTGTAGTCTCAGCTACTTGGGAAGCTGAGGCAGAAAGGCTGCTTAAGGCCATGAGTTCAAGACCAGCCTGGGCAACATAAGGAGACCCAATCTCAAAGGGAGGGAGGTTAAATATCATTTTTTTCTTTTGTCCACTATAGCTTTAAACTACTGCATCACCATTTTCCAAAATGTGTGCCACAGACCAGTTATCCAGACTGTTAGGTGTTGCCAGAAATGAAAGGGTCCTAAAATGTATAAAAGATATTGTGAAATAGGAAGAAAATGTTCAACTGGAGAGAGGAACTTGGCAAGGGAGAGTGGGGGTTGAAGTAGGAAGGGAAAAGAAAAAATTGTGAAAAGGAAACAAAGCCTTTGTAAATAAGGAGGGGAAGAGGAGTTGAAGGGGAGGGGAAAGAAACGGGAAAAAAAGAATTAAGTTATACCATGCACAGGTACAAATTCCCTCTGACGAATGTGATCATTATGCATACCTAAATGTATCAATAAACTTAATTTTAAAAAAAAAGAAAGGCGCCCTCTGAGATATATTTCCCTGCTCCAGTGCATGGATAATAACGCACTCAAAATCACACAAGTAGGAAGTGGGAGCGCCAAGACCAGAAACCGTACCTGGCTCCTTGCCTAGCCCTTCACCCACTGGGAAAAAGACATAGGATGAACAGTTTCCAGGCTGTTAGCAGTTTTCCTATTTTTCCACTAAAGCAACTCTGGAAAATGACCAATGACTTCCTACTTGCTAAATTGGAGATTCAGACTCCTACCTCAACCTCCTTCACTTCTGCAGACGCCGACACTTAATTCCCCAGGTCACGTCTCTGGGACACTCAGGCTCCTCAGTCCCACAAGAAATCAGATCCCGGTCCTGTGCTCCTGACAGCCTCCTGTCCGCCAGCTGAGACTCGCTTCCTCTTCCGGCCTCCCCTGTGCGTGTTTGCTTTCCTCAGCTACACACACCAGCTCCAGCTGGATATCCTGCTGGCAACGCAAACATAGCTCGTTCAAAAGCAAATTCAGCACCCTTCGCACCCCCACCCATGTCTCCTCCCGAGTCCTCTATTTCTGTCATGCTCCAGACCCTGTGGATTGCTTCCCCCTCTTTTCTCTTCGGTCCTCCCGCACCTTCAGCTGCCACGTCCTCTCAATCCACAAAAAAATCTTCCCAAACCAACCACCCTTTGCCCATTAACCTCAAGGCCCTGGGTGAACTTCTTAATACTTTTCCTAGATCAACCAGTAGCTCCTCACTTGATCCGCCCACGCCGTCCTACATTCGGCACCAAGGCCGTAATCTCCCCACTCGCATCCACATACCCCCTCCCTGCGGGGCTCCCCAAGGCCGGCGCACCGGGCGTCCGAGGTGCCCCGTCTGCCCAGGCGCCGCAGCCCCGCCTCCTACCTGCCCCGTCCCACTCCCTCCCGCGCGGCGAAGACCGGCTGGGAGCGGCTGATCCGCTGCTCGGCGGCGGGCGCCCGGGGACGCTCGCGGCGCGGGAGGAGAGGGAAGAGGTTCCGGCTTGGAAACGCGCGGCGGACACGTCCACACCCAGCAGCCCGACCGCGACAACCCGGCTTGGCAAACAGCTTGGTCAAACAGACCGCACTTCCGGGCAGCGTGGCGCTGCCCCTCGCTCCGCCGCGGGACGCGCGGGACGGCCCTGCGGGTCATCCGAGAGCTGCGGGAGGCTGTGAGCACGGCGCTGAGCGCGGCGACACAGCCTGTACCTCTGCGCAGCGCAAGGTGGCGTCCGCACGGCCATGAAAACTGAGACGTTAGCTTGGGTCACGCGAGCCACTAAACCCCAAATTTACAGCGTTAGGATTTCCTCACTTTTTCCCCCGAGGACGTCCTTCTGTGCCAGAACCCAAAGCGGACCCTACGTGGCGTTCAGTGCGTTGCAGTTTCAAAGCTCAAAATTAAAAAGTAAAGGGGCAATAGAAAAGGAAACGAGGGGGTGGGGATTTAGCTCAGCGGCAAAGCGCCTGCCTGGCAAGCGCAAGGTCGTGAGTTCGATTCCTGGTACCGGAAAAAAAACAAAAACAAAAAAAAACAAAACAAAAAAAAAACAAAGAAAAGAAAAGGAAACGAGACAGACTCTTTGAAATCCGAGCTTCAGGAAAGCAAATTCACAGGAGAAGGGAAAGCAGCAGGTGTGGTAGTAGGTCCCAAACCCTCCGCCTTTCCAAGAACCCGCGCGGCCGCAGCCCCGGGAGCGCACACGCTCGCACAAAAGAAAAAAAAAAAAAAACTTTGTTGAAGACTACACTACAACACTGGGTGTGGTGATGCAGGTCTGTAATCCCAGCATGCAGGAGGATCACTGTTGAGTTCAAGGCCAGTTGGACTACAGAGTGAGACCCTGTCTGAAAACAAAACAAAACAACAACAACAAAAAAAAACCACTTCAGGGTTAACTTGGCTGCTGCCCCTTGGAGCTGGTAAGATTTTTTTTTCTCTTCTCTCCCACCTTTCTACCCCCACCCTTATGCTTTCTCACAGGACACTAAAGCCCAAGCACCCAAAGATATTCAGCCCTGTTACAGAACCCAGACCCATTAGGCCAGGATGTTTTATGCAGGGTGAAGAGGCCAGACACATGAAAATTCAACACCCTCTAGTTGGCAATGACCACCTGGTGCCCCAGGTGTCACAGGAAGAAGAACCTTTTGGAACCATGCGCTAGGCCAGTGGATATTACCAGACTGTAGCTCAGCCCCACAAATCAATAAAAACCTGCTGCCTTCTTTGTTCTGAGTGTGGCAGCTTAATCACTCTAAACCAGACGTGTGAGTGCACTTGCAGTATTTGACCCAGTCTTGTTTCTATCTTCTCTGGGTCAAAAGAGCCCATTGTCTGAATAAAAAATCGACTGAATATTAATAAGTTCACAGTTTACCTTCTGGGCATTAATTCAACAGATAAACTCGCTCATGAATAAAACTATACACTGGGCAAAACCAACAAGCAGGAGCCTACCTAGGATGGAATCTTAATGAGTCTTTAATATTCTACCGACTCTTTAATATTCCTCACTATCGTGTAGGGTAAGTTACCTAACTTTTTTTTTTTTTTTTTTTTTTTGGTACTGGGAACTGAACTTGAGATCTCACGCTTGCCAGGCAGGCACTGTGCTGCTGAGCTGTATCTCCAGCCCCATACCTAACCCTTTTGTCACTTGCTTCCATCACTACCTGTAATAACTTACCTCGGAGAGTGGCCGTGTGGACTCAGTTCATTTGGTGGGCTGAGATTGTAGGTCTGAGGTAGGACAGGAAAAACAAAGGTAGGTAGAAGACAAGGAAACTTCCTTTTGTCTCATTACCTTATAACTTTGGGGACAGATCCCTGCTCAGCTCCACACACAGGCATGTCTGTCATTTAAGAAATGTCTTTATTATAAGGTTTTATTAGCCCTGAATTTAGCTAGTCTTTCTTATCCCCCTTCAAGACTAAGGACACAAAGTTATTTTTAGGGTTTGCCAACTGTCACAGTGTCCAGATCCAAACCTCTCAAGCAGTGTCTAGAAGTCTGCATTCCTGGAAAAGCAGAGCCTCACAGGGCACCCCAGGATGTCACCCCTCCCAAGCAAGCACAGTCATCTCATGGGAACCAGTTACCCAGCAAACCGTAAGGATTCCTCAGAGCTGTGAAACCAGAGCTGAAATAATGACGCACCACACCCTGGCCGCCCTCAGCTAATCCACGACCTCTTTTGTGAGTGGGTCAGTTTGAAGTTCTTCAGAGTGAGCCCCCTCCAGCTGCTCAACCCAGAGTCCTGTTCATGTTCTTCCTTCGAACTCTGCCTGTGCCTCAGTGATGCAACCTGAAATTCTTCTCCATGAAGAAACTCAGCAATTTACATGGCATGGTGAGTCAAGATCTCCGTCTCCTCAGTGGTGGCCCTCCTTGGACACTGTTTAGTGACAGGTCAATAGCAGAGTACTTTCCTAGCATGAACAGGCCCTGGGGTTCATCCCTAACATCAAAAAAATGAAAACCTAGGCAGGTGTGGTGGTACGCACCTGTAATCCCGGTACTTTGGAGGCTGAGGCAGAAGGATTGCTGTGAGCTTGAGGCCACCCTGGGTTACAAAGTGAGTTCAAGGCCAGTTTGAATTACGTAGTGAAACCCTGTCTCAAATGCCCCGCCCCCAACAAAACACCACACACACAAAACAAAGAAACCTATTTGGTGACCAAACGATTTTCCAAGGTTAAGTTCACTTTTGAAATGTGGGTTGAAGACTGCATGGTATAGTAATATATAAATGTTGCCCATCCTTTTGAGGGGGGTGGTTAAAATTTTACTGGTACATTTTAGAGCTACATAATGATAATATTCATCATAGGGAATTTGTACTTGATTCTTTTTTTTTCCCCGTTCTCCCCTTTAACCTCTGTTTCCCTCCTTATTTACAAAAACTTTGTTTCCAATTTTTTCTTCTACTTTTTTCCTTGTTCCTTCCTTCCTTTGGCCCTCCCCTTTCTGTTGTTCCCTTCTCATTTGAACATTTCCTTCCTATTTCCCAATATCTATTACACATTTTGGTCCTTATGTACACTTCTGGTTTCTTATGCCAGAGGAACAATGCAGCATTTAAATATGTGTGTTTGATTTATTTCACTTAAGACTACATTCTCAAGGTGTGTCCATTTAGCTAGAAATGTAGACTCCATTGTATAAAAACACCACATCTTGCCAGGCGTGGTGGTGCACACCTGTAATCCCAGCATTCAGGAGGTTGAGACAGAAGGGTCGTTGTGAGTTCAAGGCCAGCCTGGGCTACAAAGTGAGTTCAAGGCCAATCTGAACTGCATAGTAAGACTTTGTCTCAAAAAAACAAAAAAAAAGAAAAACAAAAAAAACCACCACATCTTGGGCCGGGGATATAGCTCAGTGGCACAAGCGCCTGCCTGGCAAGCACAAGGTCCTGAGTTTGATTCCAAGAACCAAAATAAAATAAAATAAAATAAAGTAACACAACATCTTTATCCACTCATCAGTTGATGGGCATTTGGGTTGTATCCAAGATTTAGCTATTACAGACTGTGCCCCTATAAATATGGGTTTGCAGCCATGC